TTTTTTTACCCATTTGATTTTGATACGGATAAAAAATTACTCAATACGACTTTGTATACATGGGTAATGGCATTTGGATTGGAGTTTAGACTGGCCCTGCTTTGGATTTGATTTTTGAATCGATTTACAAGATGCCATCTCTAGCTTTGGAAAGCTGAGATAGGGAATCAATGCGGAATTTTTATGCTTGGAACGGTTGGGGCACTTAATGATGGATGGGATGGGGGGTAGGATGGCTGGCTGGGTGGGCTCTATCGAATTGGCCCGGATGGGTGGGGATGCGGATTATGATTGTATGTATGAAGTGTATGAGAATATCTTGGATGGGGGGAGGTATGATACGAGGAACTGGATGCATGAATGGAAGTACTTGTGAATTCTACAAAAGAATATCCAACTGTGATGAGTGGTGTTTGGATTGCATTGATGTGATGTGACGTGATGTGATGTGATATTCCTGGCAGTGTCCAATGCGATTTGAAAGCTCCGAGGAATGATACATATGTCAATAGATATGCATCTACTCGACTACTTGCAAGGAGGATTCGGAATGGTATTCTCTAAATTTTCCATCCTCTCCACCTCCTCTTTGTCTCTTTTTTTGATAATCCTCACCCTTCATCCTCTTCCTTATCCGAGTGCACGCGCTTATTACCCGAACTTACCAATGGAGGCTCCTAGCTAGAAATCTGTGGTGGATTGATAGGCATGTGGATAGCTAGATAGGTAGGCACTGGGAGGCACTGGGAGGCACTGGGAGGGGAGTAAATGGCAGGGGAACAGGGGAGAATAACGAGTTTGGCATGTGTATTGTTGGTGAATGTTGTGTTGGGGTTATTGTGGGTAGTGTGGGTAGTGTGGGGGATTTTTGATGATAGGATTCCGAGCTTGGTGGGGGGATGAGGGGTAGAGTGAAGGGGGTAGAGTGAGAGGGTAGAGTGGAGGGGGTAGATGATGATAGGGGAGGGCAGCAGGACAGGGCAGGGGCGTGGGCAGGAAGGTAAGGTGTGTTTGTTTGTGGTTATGACGGTGAGATGGGCGGAAGGGTGCGTTGGGTTTAGTTGGATGTGTTTGAAAAAAGGGTAGTGGATACTGGAGTTGGGGAGGAGGAGGGAAACCTGGAAGGGAATAAAGATAATCTGAGAATGAGCGGGCAAGTGAAGAGGTATAGACATTGGAAAGGGGTTAAGGAGCTGGGTAGAGGGCGGGCGATGAAGGAATCAGAAATAGGAGAGGGAGGATGGGATTGGGATTTCTGAGCACTTCTATATGAATTCTTAGTTGCATTGCGAAATGTTTGTTTGTTGGTTAGTTGGTTGAGGAGTGATTCGAAGAGTCGAAGCGAGGTTTGATTAATGAGATATTGAGATATTGAGATATTGGATTTAAAGAGAGATGGCTTTGGTAAGGAGCTGATGGTATGGGTAAGATGGGTGATGGAGGTGGGAGGAGGTGGGAGGGAAGCGAGGGAAGAGAATAGAAGGGAAGGAATATGGTTGTGGTTGTGGTTGTGATAGATTGGTAGGAAGTGGGAGTACTGGTTGGTGGCTGGGGGCTGGGGGTTGGGGTTTGGGGGTTGGGGTTTGGGGGTTGGGGTTTGGGGGTTGGAACTTGGATGATGGATTATGGATAATCATTTTATGTGGAGGTGGAAGGGAGGGTATCTAGAAGATATACAGAGGGTATACAGAGGGTAGATACTGCCGATTACTAGATGTTATTGAGTGGGTGATGATGAAAACTAGAACTGGGATGTCTTCTACCACATGGCTTTTATGTTGAAATAGTTGACGGGAACTAAATGATGGGATTCTTGGGGGTGTTGGTAGGAAATCATGCTTGATAAGCTTATGGTGTCGATATGAGTATTGAGGAGTGGAAGACGGTGATGTAGTGATATATGCGAAATCTCGGAGGACATCCGAGGGGGGGAAGAAGAGTTGGTGTTATTACTAAAACTATATGCGGGATACGCAAAGATTGTGTGAGATTCTGGAGGGGGGGAGTGGTGCTGAAGTGCCGAGCCATAATGCCGTGGCAGGTGGGTAGATTTGAAGAAAGCTGTGGTTTAGATGTAGATCTAGTTCATGGTGTTTTAGAGGGTTCGAGTGGAGAGCGGGATGGAAGAAGAGGTCGGATGGTTTAAGGATGTTGATGGTGTCGGATGGATTGTGTGAGAAATGAGGATGGAGGATGAAAGATGTATATCCGGAGTCTGACCGGAGGAAATAGAATTTTTGAATGATAATTATGGAAAAACTGAAACATCAGGATCGAAGGATATGTCTCCTTTTTAGAATGCTTTCGTAGGATTTCCAGACTCTGGAGAGATGAGTTGAAGTGTGTTTAGGGTAGTAATAATGGTGATGGAAATAATATGGATGTAGCTTGGTTGCAGATAGTGGTGAAAGACGTAATGAGTGTGGGAATAGTGCAGGTGTATATGCATGAGTCTATGGATTGTGTGGATATTGGCGGAGAGATTATGAAAGGAGTTTGTATGAAGTGAAATATACAGTAATTGATTTTGAAGAGAAGGATCTTTTGTGTCTGCTCTAAAAACCTACGGGAGTGTATTTTTTGGAATAAATTTAAGCGGAACTGGTATCTCTGCTTGTCTTGATATGAAGGTTGCCAAATTATAATGATTTTTGGGAGTAGGTGAATTCTTGGATTGTTGGTAGAGGTGGAAGGGTGATGGAAAGAATGCGACAAGTTTAACAGGCGAATTAATGGGAAGGTAGAGGATGGCAGATGAACCGACAGACAAATAAACCGAACAACAGTCAGCTTGACTGCACTTACACTTCTATCTAACTGCGTATTCTGAGGACTCCAGTACATCATCTTGAAAGAGAGACCCCGAATAGTTGAGGTTGGAGGTTGATGGGGGTCCTACACAGCCCATAGACCCAAAATGTATTTCCAGAAGGATAATGATAGTTGAATGATGCGATATGAATGGCAACTAGAAGAGAATACACTCACGATACCAAATGAGTCAAACTCAATCAACGAAAACACACAAAGATGATGGAACTGGCTTACAATTATATGCGAAGATCTAATCTATTCATAAATGTAGAGCTGTATGAAAGTACCTAGTACTTTGAGACATCATGATTGCGGTACGCTGTTTTTACTTATGTTAAGCAAAGACACAGACCATGGGGTTGAATGAAGACTTTGAAAATGAATGAGGAAGGTAACCAAATTTCGTGAATTGGAGGGGACCATCGTAGACCTTGAAAATTCGACTTGACGAGCGGGGTAAGAATCGCGACAACGAGATCACCTTGGCCTAAGCGCTGTACTATTCTCAATAAATATTCACCAACCAATGGTAAGAAGTATGCCAAGTGATTTATCAGGATGTTTTTGTTTTTACTTACTTGGCCTGCCCGGGTGGTCGTAGGGGTGACCGGAAGGAGGGAGCATTCTAGCAAGATCTCTGTTCTCAACAAAGTTGTGGATAAAAAAGATTGAAGCATTCGAAACACGTTAGAAGAAAATCGCAATTCGATCTGGACCATATTCTAGGCTCAAGAATCACGCCATATGTTCCCGATTGCTATACGGTTAGTATTCAGAACTAGCGTCTCCAATGATTAAAGTTCAACCATTTTGGGTTCGATCAATTCCCCTCTTGCCAGTAACACAAGAGTATAACATTTCCACAATAGGTAAAGTCATTTTATTGCCAAATATAAGTGCCTAGTGCCTTGATATCTACAACTCCGGCATTATTTTATCTATTTCAAAGCTAGAATGACACTGACATGATACGAGTGGAAGAACGAGTGGACTTGAGTGGACTTCCGATGCTACAAGGCAGCGAGTGGAGCTTGAAAGAGGCTAGAGCTGGAAGGGAGAAGTGGAAATAGAATCTATGGCTAATACTAATAAAGGACGTACATCAAATTTAGTCTACGATCTAACTGTGACTCAGTTAAAATGCGTCAACAAGAATCAATGGAGTGATGGCTCGATAATTCCACATGATTTAAGGTTCTAATGATAGAATTTTGGTCGGCATTAATTTGACTCAAGATTCTCGATCCGAAAGATTGATTATTTGGAGCTCCGGGGTTTCTTCTGAAATTTTTAATGTTAATATGAGAAGAGTACAGAAAGCTGTGGAGATAGTGAAGTGAGCAGGGCTATAATCAGCTACATACTTGGCATGGTTATATGTTTTCATCTTTAATTCAAGAATATAGAGATGGAGTAGCTATCCACCCAGCTAATTTCATGTTTTGGCAATGTGGTTATCATGCACAGACCCCTTGAAAAAGATCACAGTCGGCTCTTCAAGCGACCTCAGATTTCTACGAGAACTTTGTACGCTTGTAGATGGTCGGTTTATTCATGATCTCCGACATCAACCATTAAACGGTCGTTTTGTCTCACGTATTTTTCGCGCAAAGTGATTTTCGAGTACTGGTACATTAACCTTACTGTTAGCGATTGAATTCCTATGAGCCATAACAGTTACGGTACTTCAAGAAAGTTGAGATAATATAAATCAGAAGACCTAGTCCAACATTGCCATTCACACACTGCACATTGATGAATGTTTTTTCTAGGTTCCTAGGGATTGATAAGTGGTGAAGTCGGGATTTAGATTAGGAAGCACTACCTCCTATTAGACCGAACTAATAAACGAGGCACATTGACCGCCCTGGTAAGGCGGGGCAGAAAACAGTCGGGTGTTTAATCCCTGTAAAATCGCGGGTCTGAAGGAGTCCGGCGCGTCTGCCCACGACATAAAATATCAACGATGTCATTGATACATGATATAAAATTAATGTTATGAATTTTATGACCTTACGACTTTGACGACCATTTTTTATTCTCTCTTTATTGACTACCAGTCATTATTATAAGGCAGATATCTTACCAGAAAGTATTTTCATACGCGATAGCACGATTTCTTTACCGTGTTTTCTAGATAATATTCAACGAGTCAACCTGGAGATTTGACTGCGCCGATTTGCAGTATGGACGAGGGGGAGAGAATTTCTTTCGAGGAGCGCTCAAAGGCTCTGCGAGTCGAATTGAAAGTATGGGAAAAGGATTTTCAGAACAATAATGAAGGCCGCAAAGCCTCAAGAGAGGATATCAAAGCGAACCCGGATATCGGTATGGATCCTACATTTGCGCATTCTGCCAATCAATTATACTTACATTCCCGCAGCCTCGAAATATAAAGAATTCAATAGAGTACGCGACATACTCTCTGGAAAGATTTCGCACATACCTCCACCGGCTCCTAAACCAACACCCCGAAAGAGAAGACATGGAGAGGATCAAGATGAAACACCCCAAAAGCGTGCACATATCGATAGAACACCCTCGAAGAATACAATATTACCATGGGATGTTGACCCTTATCATTCGCCTTCCGTTATGAGAAACCTATTTGCTACACCTTCGAAGAAAACCGCAATTGGACCAACACCACAGAAGGATGGGCAGGTTCTAGGGTTGTTTGACTTGGATCCAGACAGTGCCGCAGATTCTCCTTCCACTGCTCCTGGGGTATTTGGGAAAACAGCCGGCATAGACGCAACTCCTCGAAAGCATGGACATGGAATAACTCCAGTAAGCTCAAGAGCAATCATGCACAGCAATACGCCCTCATCGAGAAGGACCTTGTTGTTCAGTACGCCTTTGAAGAATAAGATTGCCAATGCTCAAGGATCAACAACACCTTCATCAGTATCAAAGCTACATTTTAGTACACCATCATTTTTGAGAAGAGATAGCCAACGAATTAGAATGCCGGCTCTCGATGAAAATGAAGAAGGCCCACCTGATTCTCCAGAAATTATTCGAGGTCCTCGAAAACCAATGATCAAAAGTCTAAGCAGTATGCTTGCTGGTCTCCGGAAGATGGAAGAAGATGCTGCAGAGGATGATTTAGAGGCTCTTCGTGAAATGGAAGCCGAGACATCCAACCCGTCCAAGCCCACATCAAAACCAAAATCAAACCCACAATTGACTGCTCTACCAATTAGCTCGACAAGCGCCTCGTCATCAAAACCGCCGACCGAAGAGCCCCTTCCAGAAGACACAATTCTGGTTAAAGATAGTCAGCCACAAGAATTACTGGGTGGTTTCGACGATGAAGCTATGTACGATTCTGAGCCCGAAGAGGCGACAGAGGCACCCAAAAGAACATACAAAAAGAGAGGTCAAAAGCGTACCACCCGTCGTGTAAATCTCAAGCCAAATCGTACCAAGCCCTCTGAGCCCATGCCATCTACAAATTACCACAATGTGTCAGAAAGCGAAGACGAACTCGCGCTTCCTCATACTCGCCTCGAAACTATACCCGAAACTCAACTCGATGATGAGTTCCCTCCACCTGACGATGACGAATTCCCACATCCTGATGAATTTCCACTCGACGGTCGCAACTTCGATTCTGATTCCGCTTCCGAATATACGGCTTCAGAAGGAGGAACGCGGTACAGGAGACCCGATCAAGATAAGACGAAAAAGAAAAATCTGGAGGCTAACAGGGAAGGGAAAGTCAAGAAGGCTGCCAGGAAGATCAAAGCTACTGCAGGCAGTCTACAGAATTACAAGAGGTTGAAGTTGAGGAATAGTGGAGCGAAGGGGGGACCAGGGGTTGGTAGCAGATTCAGGAGGAGAAAGTAAGGGCTGCAACTTGAGAGCGAGACCTAAGGAGGAACGCAAAAGAGACGCGCCTCGGAGCCCAGAATTTGAGTTGCGCAAATGATTTGTGAAGAAACGCATGTTTTGCTATACACTTGGAGATACCAAAAGACACTTTGAAGTCTAGATCTGCGTTTCTTTAAGAATATCCAATAAAAATATAATACTTACATGTACATGCACTTACTCTTAACCTCTTTTCCTCCTGGATAGATAGCTCTGATGTTCTAACATACATTGAGTTGACTATAGATACGAGCGGAGTCTAGATGTGTAACATGAGATTCTGTGCACGTAGGATGTATTAACTGATTTATCATCGAGTCTTTTCATCTCGGATACTCATAATCCTCTTTCAACAATCAAGCAGGCTCCTCACGATAACACGGACCATGCACCCCATCCATTTTCACTCTTCTGGTATCCTCTTTCCTCTGCCCTCTGCATTCTCGTTCAGCGTTGGCCTGACCGTGCCTGATTCTGTTCTTGCCTGATTTTTCTCTCATCGTCCCTTCCCATCTTTCAGTCCTACCTAGGTATTCCAAGCTCTGATCTTACGATGCCAATTTGGGTCTGTTGACTAGACGCTATCTATCACGTCACTATTCCATACGGTCAGGCCAAAGAGATGGAGACATAATCATGTAATTCGGAATTCCGTATCTTATGTCAAAAAGTGGAAATCATCCGGATGTTCATCTTGGTAGCTGCACATTATTGACTAGGTAATGTAAGGATTAAATTAGTTAGTTTCGACTTTCACATAATTGGCATTTTTGAGCGACGACGACAATAAAAGAATAAACAAAAAACGTTGACTGTTCAACGGAGCATTATCGGATGCTCGTCCATGACTCGCACCTGAGACATATTCAGCCGTCTTCAACTTCCTTGGCATTTGGCGATGCGGACAAAAGAAAGCATTTGCTCATTTATCGCATCCTAAATTACACTTTTCAATTGAAAGCTACTTTTGTCCTGAAAAGAACACGATAACTAATACGGTTAATAACAACTCGTCATCGAGGCCCCTCCCTACACCCCTCCCTACACCCCTCCCTACACCCCTCCCTACACCTCTCCCTACACACTTCAACCCACACATTCTTTCCGTAAACAAGATCAGGCCTCTTCGAGTATTTCTTTGCCTCTGTAGGCTCTCCCATTTAATCAACTCACAATATACTATAGAAGGTCATAATCTTACAACAATGATATACAAATTTACGCTAGCAATATATCTCATTATACAAACTAATTACGATTTCACGCTAGCGAGTTACGATTTCATCAGTCGACGGTACAAGCAGAAAAGATACAGCAGCGTTACATATGTTCCTATCTAATGGATGGCCCTTCCAGAAACTTGATCGGTAAGATCCATCACAAGCCCTTCAAGTAACTAGCAATCCATCTGCCGTTCTTATTTTCTTGCTCTTTACCTCAACACTTGCTGTTTGTTACCTGGGTTCTTGTCTAATTTTCTGCCCTTCTTTCTTTCTTTCCCATCTAATGAATTTTTTGGAGGCATAACTCTTTACCACCTAATAAACCAGCAGGCTCCCAACAATTTGTATCTAAGGCTCTTTATGATATCATCTGGATTGTCTTTGTGATCATTAGAATCCTGAGATGGCCTTGATGAAGTCGTTGTTGCAGATATTGTTAATTATTGTTGTTGGTATCAACTTGGGTTGATAAAGTGTATAGTACTTTAGTCTATTGTATTTCATTTATATTTGATTCTTATCACTATAAAAAGCTAATACTTAATATAATAGAAGAGCTAATACTAATGTATATGCTAGTATATATATTAATTATAATACAATGCTCTCTTAGATTATATAATCAATATCCCAATATTAGTAACTCTTAAATTGAATAAATTATATACTTAAACCTAAGCCTATCATTCAATCTTAAATACAGTATTCTACTCATCCCTTAACTCCCATTCCACTATTTTCTTTTCACCCAATACATCACTTTAATAACTATTTTATTAATATTAATCAAATCTTTTAAAACTTGATATACATTGTTTTTAGTTATAACATCTACAGGATTCGATTTTTCGTTAATCCATTTAATCTCTATAATCTCTCTATTTTTGTAATATTGTTATAAAGTTATAATATTAATCAGGAATCGTTTTTTTGTATTTATACTGAATTTAGTTAATAGATTATATAATGACTTAAAATTCATATAAATTATAAATAATATTTGCTTTTTAGATTTAAGAATAGTATTAATAATACTTTTAATAGCTATTTTGATATCAAAACCTAGAATTAGTGTATATAGCTTAGAAGCTAGTATACTTTTAGTGATTCTCTTACATTTAATTAATATCTAATAAATAATATTAATATTACTATACTTATCCACAAAGTATATGATATAATCAATTTGCAATAATAAATCAGTATTATTAGTAAAGAATATATTAGTAAAGATAATTAAATCGATAAAATCCATATTGAGAGGTATGAATATGAATTCTCTTTTTGAGTTATTCATCTATTATTTAATAACTTTATTAAACTTGATAGTATCTTTCTTCTTCAGATCTATTATCTAGGTAGTAATAGAAAGATAATATAATATTTTTAATTGATATACAATTACAATATATATATCTTTTATATATTAAACAATATATTAATTCTTCAAAATAATATTTTTTCAAATTTTTTCTTTTATTCTATATATATCGATATTTCCTAATATAACTATTCTAAGATTATTATATTATCTTTCTTGATTTAGATAAATCCTATTATCCTTAAGAGTAATCAATTTACTATTAAATTTGAATAAATGATTTTTGATAAATTACTTCCTGTTTTTAGTTATAAAACCAGCTTTTTCCAACTTCTTTTATTTTAAGTATACAAATCTCTTGTTTTCAATTATAAGAATATTATCAATTTGAAATCCTATAATACTAATACAATTAGTTGAATAGAATAAATAAAGATTATATATAGATTGTATTATATTTAGCCTATTCCTATAGTGATTATGGTAAATTTCAAATCAGTGATTTCCTGTTTTTGGAATACTATATAAAGATTTGATAATATATAGTATATATCTGTTATCAAGTTCGATCTTTATTAATATTTTCATATAAATAGGTTTACTTAAAGTCATGATTGACTGGGTATATGTCTGTATAATATTCTGTAAATAGATCTGAATATTCTTATTTGATATTTGCAAAATAATAGTAAATGTAAGAATAATATATTAACTAATATATTGAATAATCAGTAATTGTATTAAAACAATGATTTTACTTATATTCTTATATACTTAAACTACTAGTTGTAACTTTGTATATACTTTATCAATCTCTTTTTTCTTTATTTCGTCAATAAATCGAGATTTAAATAATTGTATTTCAAACGATATACTGGTTTTTGAAATAATTTTAAAGATTCTATTTTTTATCAAACCATTAACTTCTTTATATTGTGATTCCTTATATCGTATAGGTATATTATTTTATAAGAATATAGTTAGTTGTAATTACAGTTTAATATTAATATCCATTATATTAATTATATTAATCAAATTACTATGTAATCAATATTATAATTGTATACCTGGTTATATTGCTAGGGGAGGTATTTGCAGTCGTAATATAGATATATACAATATATCAATTATTATAGTATTATTATTATTATTATCCATAATATTAATATTATTCGACTCGATTTCTTTAAATTCTTTATAAAAAGATTATACTGATATAAATTGAAATTTAATTAATTTGTTAGTAAGTTTTACCTCATATATCTCCCTATCCATCCCAATCAGAATATATGGTTTAATCCATTTACCTAATATATTATTGCTTTTACCCTCTTTCTATATTAAAATCTGTGAGTTAAATAATAAAGTAAGAATTAATATTGTAAATAATTCATTTTTCATTCTGAATACCTTTATAACCTATCTCTTAGCTTGTATATAATATATTTCTATTATAACCTTCTTTATAGCTTTTGTATATTAAATAATTATCAGAATTAAAGAATTAATATTACTCAATCTGAAATACATTCTGTAAACTAATAATATAGAAATAAGTCTATTAGATTCTACTATATCATTTACAGCTTTCACTACCATTTACAGAATCATTGATTTTATTAAATTATTATCCTTAAACTCCTTCATCAAGATTTTGTATATATAATATAATAGATAATAATATTATTCTATAATTCCTATCGAATTATATACCTCAATTAATACACTTTTGATAATAATTGATATAAATTTTATATTCTAAATAAACTTTTTACTTATAAAATTCTTTCTCATATTATAAATAATATAATCTAGTAATTCTATATACACATCAATCCAGTATTCCTGGAGGCTATCGAATATATACTTAACTAAAATGTTTTCAAGAAACCGAACAGTTTGATATCATATTATCTCGTTAACAATATATAGAACTGATTTTCCCACAATATACATAATATCGATATATATAATATAGTTAAACTTAGTATTCTTTAATAAAATAAATCTAAAATATTCTAATGATTTACTATACATTTGATAATGTTTATAGTATTTAGTAAAATACTTAATAGTATTATTATTCTCATTATAGCCTGTTTGTTGTAATATATAATAAAAACATTATGCAGATAAATAGCTAAATCGATGATATAGGTATTATAGCTTTGTAGTTATTAAATAGTAATTATTCTAATAAATCGACTTTTGAATAAATTGATTCATATTTACCTTCCATATCAAAAATATATATCCACATCTCCTAATAATAGAGTATTAACTAGTTAGATTAATGAATTTGTTAGTGATATTATTATAAAACACTTTAAACCGATTTATATCCTCTAATTCTAATAAAAATAAAATATCGGTATTTACGATGTGAAAATCAATATATTCAAATAATGTTTTGATATAAAATGATTCTATTA